TGACTACCTATTTTATTAAACTGCATAGTATGACCCTGATTTCCTTTTCCATGTAATCATCCACGAGTGTCTTTTTTAAAGACAGAATCGACCGAAGCTATGCGGCTAGCATAATGAAGTCTCATGTTCAGTTCATACAAAGTGGCACATTTAAATACCTCAAAAGGAAGAAGGCGAGTGACCCTACTGGGGCTCTAATTCGGGACTTCTAGGTTCTGAGTACGACGTTCTGCCAACTGAGAAACCCCAGCTCTCCCGGCCGATTCCAGTACAGAAAGGAATTGATTTCCAATTCAGGTAACTGAAAAGGTGACAGCAGCATAAGTTGCAAATGTATACAATCGCGGCACGGTCTCCGAATGCATGAACACTTTTTTAGCCTTGCCACATGGCAAAACAGCGGTTTTACACTGGATAATTGGGAGAATGATGGAGGTGAGCGCAATGAGTTTGGAAGTTTGCTAAGGTGACGTTATATACGACGTTGAAAACCGGCTGCTCTCGAAAACAGCCTCTCGTCCATGTGGTCCGATGATGACCAAAACCAAATAACGTGATCGGAGATCAGAACAGCCTATATCGGCCATAGAGTAGATGTTAAGGAACAAGATAAATCTGGAACACGCAGCTACCGCAGATATACAAAATCACTCGTTGAGAAGCAATACGATAGTTTGATAGAAGTTATGCATACAACTCGGAAGAGAAAGATCCGCCCCAGTTCCATAAGCAAAGTATGGTGTATCGTTTAAGTTGTCCTGAGTACAAGTGATTATTAATATTGTATCTGTCTGAATATTCACACTGAAGAACTAATAACAAACTGTTCCACATTTGTCCAAGATTGTAACTTTGAGAACTGTGGTTTTACCGTTGTTTTAATTGAGATTAAATATGGTTCTCTACATAAATCCGAATATATACCGTTATCGAACACTGCAAATTACCATAAAAACAGCCAAAGAAATTACGCTCCTCGCGCTGAGTTCATTCGTTCTCGCTAACGCGGCATAAGGAAGGCGATCATCTCTCATAACGGCTCACGTAGAGACCATTTGACACGGCCCTGCATCTGTCAAAAGACGGCAACCAGGCGCAGCAGCGCTGTCATAGTCTTGAAACTTACTAACAAGCGCGCTGCTTCCTTTGACAGTATTGTTGGCAATAACCATATCACTACGCGCCAGCTGCGCCATCGGACAGTTCTGATGGCTGGCAGGCCGAAAGGACGACGGAACGTTTGTGAGGGATTTCAGGAATATTCAGGTTTCAGTACCCGCGGCATCCATATCGTAAAAACAGAAGTCAAGTCACTAAGGCTGCTGTCAACAGCTTCGTCGATTTTTCATGCTCGAACAGCGACCACAG